GTTGCAAAACAGACTAGGCCAGCGAAAGCTTTCATTTGTACTGAGAGCTTTTGAAAGCTTTGGCACGCTGTGTTGTAAAGCAGGGCTGGTATACAAGCAGCAGATACACAATGATCAGGTGATTAAACGTGTAACACCTCTGAGTGTGGTTATTCTGATTTAATTTTTATTTAAGTGAAGAGCATAGGTCACTTAAATCAAAATTAAAATTGATTGGAGAAACCAAAAATTCGAAAATTAAAGTATTTTTCACTTAAGTAATTTGGTGAAACCGGCTGTAAGTGATACATACCAATCGATTTATTTTTTCACCGAGACTCAAATTTGAAAATAAATTTTTATTTGCAATTTTTATGCAATATTTAAAAAAATAACAATTATTTTTGAACTTTATATTATAAATCGAAAATAACAATTATTTCTGATTTTTATATTATACGTCTTAGATAACAGTTATTGAAGACTTTTATTTATAAAAGTTATCAATAAAAATCAGTCAAAGACTATTACTTTTAAAAGCCATCAATATAAATCAGGCACCGGCTTTTATTTTTTAAATCATTCGCATAAAAGTCATTAACATTTTTCGCAGTTAAGAAGGTGTTGGAAAACAAAAGTTTACTACGACTTTTACTAATGACTTTTTATTTATGACTTTTATAAATCAAAGTCTTCGATAACTGTTATCGAAAACACATAATTTAAAAATCAAAAATAAGTAGCTGTTATTTGCAGATTATTTAGATACAAATCAAAAATAACGGTTATTTAAGTAATAAAATAAAAGTCAGAAAATAATTGTTAAAGAGCGATTTTTTTAATGAAAGTTCTAACTGTTATAGTCCCTGGTTTAGGGTGTTTGTGATATGTTTTTCTTAATTTTTTTTGCATTTAACGAATGTTGTGTTTCATACATAAATGCCATAGACTAAAAAACATGATGAAAAAAAATCATCTCCACAAATTTCGTTGTTGTTTTTTTTTTTTTGTTATAAAAGAAAATTTGGGCTCTTATTGAATCACCCTGTTTGTATGTATGTATGTATGAGTTCTTTTAGTTTTGGTAGGGGGAAATATTAATTTATCCAAACGGGTTATCACACAAGCTTGCCGCACCATTGACTACAGAACAGTTTACGCTTTTGTTCAAACTGACCGGAGGAGACCCAAATGAGCGCCACAGGCATCATCAATTTATATGTAAATTGCATACATAAACTTCGTATATACAAAAATTCATAAGTGCATATCTATATGCATTAGGGTGGTCCTTAAAAATCAAATGAATGATTTTTTTCAGTCTCACCCCCTCAATCGGTAATACCATAATCATAGATATCACATATAAATTTTGGTCCCAATTGGAAACCGTTAAGGCATGTCGCACAGGGTGCAAAGTTCAGAAACTCTATAGAAACTCGAAAAATTAAAATAAATTTTTTTTCACCTAATTCCCAAAATCGATACTACTATAGTCGAAGATAACACATAGAAATTTTGTACATGATTGGAGACGGTTAAGGCGTGTCGCACAGAGGTCAAATTTCAGGCTACCCACCCTATGAAGTCGTCTTAACCAACTCCAAACGGGACCAACATTTATATATGATATCTTCGACTATAGTAGTATTGATTTTCAGTATTAAATGAAGAAAAAATAAAAATTTTTTAAGTCTCCATAGAGGCATCTGGTCTTTGGCCCCTTTGCGACACGCCTTAACCGACTCCAATCGGGACCAAAATTTATGTCATATCTATGATCATGGTATTACCGATTGAGGGAATGAGTCTGAAAAAAATCTTTCTTTTGATTTTTAGGGACCACCCTAATATGCTAGTGCATGTATGTAAATATGTATATATGTATATTCATTCATAAAAATTATGAGCTTTACAAACTGTGCAGTGAATAAGAAATAAAAAAAAAATATCGTCTTTCAACTGAGACAACTGCAGGCCGGAAATGCAATGCCAAGAAGAAACGAAAATTGGAGTAATGTTTTTTATTTGTTCATTTTTAATATGAAAATCACGTTTATTAGAAAACATTTACAATGTATGTATGTATGTATACATATGTACAAACATATCCATTTATATAGGCTACTTTTATTTATTTGCTATGCAATACATTAGGGTGCTACACGTAAAATAGTAACTAGCTAGTTGCGGTTTTCGCAAGCGATTCACAAAATTTGGTAAATATTACCAAACTCACTAAAATGTTTGTCTCAATTCAGTGTAATTCAGATGATCTCTTGAAGATCATAAACAAATTAAATCTTATGACAAGCCTCAACTTTCGGCAACGAGCAATACGTTAACACTGTGCTGAGTACCAGGGCACTGTAGGCTCGATGGCAACGAGGTCGCTGACGAATTGTCACGAAACAAAAATCGAAATCGAACTGGCCTTACAAAAATACTTTAGACTCAGGGGTATCCGGTGAACTATTTTCCGGTGCGGTCCAATCTATAGACGAACCCTTTACAATAAGGAATTCTTTCGCGATCCAGCTTAATGTATCTACTATGTACATCAATATATTCACATGCTGGCTCTCAAATATCTTCATTAATCGCTGCGGGCATAATTCTGAAAAGAGTTGCAAAGCGATTAATTGTCATGATTAGGCAGTTCCACGGCGGCAGAGTGACGGATCAGCATTCATAGCAAATAAATATGTATTTGCTTTGATTAACAAGAGATTAATGTATGCATGCCCGGAAAATGGGAGCAAATAAGAAATGTGTAGAGTCTTCTGGTAGTAAAAACAATATACATAAATATGTACATTGCTAGAGTTAATGAGAGATGCATCCGATTTTCACTTCAAGCCACTGTACATACATACATATATGCGGAAAAAAGCGCTGACAATTCCTACAATAAGAATTGGCCTTTAAGTAACTTACACATTACATTAAATATAATCAAATCCACCTGTTAAACTTCGCTTTTCATTGACAATAGCGAGACCATAATTGAAATTTACAACAAAATTCATGCCCAGAATAAAACAAAGTTAATTGCGCAATAAAATGGCGAAAAATGTAATAAAAAAGATTTAATGGCCGTCAAACCAAGCGAAGTCGTGCGTATTTAATTGTACGAATATGTACACAAACACAGCTATGTAAGTATGTAAGCAGCATAGGGACAATGCAGGCGTCAGTTGGCTGGCTTTGAACTAACAAAAAACTCTTGCCATATTTGATTGGAAATTATTGAGCGGTGACAATTTCATGGAATAGTAATTTCGAAACTGCGCTATTATTTTTGAAAAAAGGTTGAAAAAAACGTCGTAAATTTGCCTACAAAATAAATTTAATTGTAGGATAAAAACAAAAAATTATTAAAGCAATTAATATTCAATGCAGTGGTGACAGGTGCAGGCCGACAAATTTAATTTAACAAATTTTTCAAAACACACTCTGAGCCGCGTGGCTGAAATTTGATCGTCTGGTTGGTTTTTGTAATTCAATACTTATGTTCACACAAATATCGACTTGAACAGAGATAGCCACTTCATAAGGCCGCGCACCCATATTTTTTCAGCTTTTTATACAATTCATAAAGACGAACAGACTCTAAGAAAGCAGCTCCCTCTCACAGTCTAATGCTATCTTAAGGCGTGCAACTATCGAGACTTTCATATAACGTTAGCAGGAGCGAAAGTTTTCAGAGCTAACTAAGGAGTATACAACTCAAAAAGTGGCTGGGCGGAGCATGTTCGGAGAAGCTTTTCCTAAAATTCCGTATCTTCAGGGCTAAGCTTGATTAGGTTAAGGTGATTACTCCAAGCAGGGGGCCCTGTAAGCATCATCAGTTCTCTGCGATATGTCTACAAACGGAAACGGCTAAGCTAAAGCAAAAACGTAGTTTCCTGGGAAGATACCTTAACAACCTCCGGTTCACCTTCGGTTAGAAAAACCGTGCAGCCACACATACCTAGGTTCTCGCCCAGTATTCGGTGAGCTACGAAGACACAAGGCCCATCTGTCCCAGCAATTAATTTAATGTTGCCTTAATGGCAGCAACCTGTATCTGTCTGCAAAACAATAAAAGTGATCTGGAAGCCTAAATTTGAAGCTGTTAGGCAAATATTGTGAAAAAACTAATTTACGAATACTTCTGTGATTGACTGTATGTTGTATATCAAAATATCCCTAAAAATTAGTTCGTGGAAAAATGTTTATTAATGGAAAGTGCAAAAATATGAACTACCAAGTCGGCGATGCTCTATCTTTTGGTCGTATAACCGACTTCCGGTTTCTAGCGGAAGTGGGTTAAACAAACCTAAAGTCCATTCTTTAAAAACGAGACATCCATGTTTTTATCACAAACTCGGACAAAAATACATAACTTTTGTCGGATAATTTTTTTTTGAATGAACTTCCGGTTAAAAAAATGGACCGGCATATACTTCTGCCGAACTTTTCTTTTCGAGACCCGTCAAAAAAATGAGATGTTGTTCACACAAAGGCATTCTTGCGGAACTACTATAAGTATGAAGGAAGGAAGAAATAATAACAGCGATTAAATAATCTGAAATAACAAATTTAAAAATATAATGCAAAAGTAGATATTAATTTCACGAGCTTGCATCACTATTAAAAGCTCTTAACCCTCCTTAGTCGATAGTGTGAGCATTCGGTACAGATTTTAAAAGTTAATATTTATGTAAATATTTCAAAAGGTCAAGGAGTCATATGATATGAATATTTTTTGCTTAATTCTATGATTTTATTGACTAGATTTATTTCTTGCAACCATCCTAGTTAGCAAATTGAGTTTGCAAAATGTCAATGAAATCAAGGGAATTAGACATTGATGACATTTCAAATCCTCACTTCAATTAAATATTTAAGAGTGCAAATCTAAGAGCTGCGAAAGTGGATGAGTGAAATTGCTTGATTTTTTCTTATTTTTATTTGTTTTTGTTTTTTTTTTTTGTTTGGTTAGTTGAATGATTGATCGGTTAGTTGGTTAATTTTACCTAAATGTATTTGATATTTAGCCGCATCACGGAGTTGCTGTTGCTGAGCTCTGTGCATTGGACCTATAATGGGAAAATAAGTAGAAATAAGAGAAGAATATTTTGTTAAAGCAGAAATCATAGTTTATAATATTAAGATTCTTGATTTTTATTACAACAAAAAAAAAGTTAACATTCCTATGACTTGCCGCAGGGAGATGATGATGGAAGTGAGCAGTGCGATTCGACGACGATGACAAGGCGCATTTAATTATTTACAATTTATGTGCTAATGAAGCAGGGGGATTGCGCCAGTAAGAATCTATATATAAATATGCACATACACATGCACATACATATGTATGTATGTATAGTTAATTGAAAAAAGCGGTCGATAGTGTTGCGTTTGAGAGAAGAAGTGATGAAGATTTCTGATAATGGACGAGTTATGGCAAATGCAGTAAAGGGCAAGATAATTCAACATGGGCAAGTAGTAAAGGAATATTAAAAATGCCAGAGAAAATTAAAATCTTGAGCTATGCGTTGTTAAGAAACGAAAGCAGAAAACGAAAGAAATAAATATTATAACAACTAAAAGTCAGAACCTGCCAGTTTAACTTCCCAACTGTTGGATTTGTTTGTGACTGCGAGATTTCACCGCTGGAACTAAGCTTCTTGGCATTCATTCGTGCTATTAGTTGGTAATTCTACTAGCCGTTTGGTAATTTCCGCAATTTTTGCTTAATCGCTACGTCTATGGTGGTTCACACAGTTTTCTCAATTATGTTTTTTTTTATATATACATAACAACACATTTGCCTCGCAAGTTGCTGCCTTAATGTCTGAACGTTTCCTCTAAGTAATTGCTATTAACATAAGAAATTAAAAAATTGGAACAATAGCAAAAAAAAAAACACAATTGAGCTTAGAAAATGTCTAGATTTCAAAGTTTAAGTTCTATTTGTGAGAAATCGTGAGCGATTTTGTTTTAGTACTAAAAAAAAAAAGCGTTTTCAACTGTTTTGCGTTGGCATTTTATAACAAAAAGCAAAAGTTTTAATAAACTATTGACTATTGATTATTTTCAGCAAAGGATAGGGCTATACTAAAAGGAAAAATTTACTAAATATTTTTAGAACCGAATTTAACTGGCAATTTTTTTCCAAGGCATGCAGCATTCCTAAAAAGTACTGCTAGTTTTTCTATGTAGCATTGACCATGAAATTTTCCGAAAATTTCCACCAGGTATAGAAGAAAAAAAGAAAAGTAACGAAAAGTTTCGAAAAATACCTAAAAGGCTGAAAAAAAATAAAGTCTGAAAAAATTATGATTAAATACAAAAAAATGACGGTTGAGTATTTACGAAAAAATTAAGGTCAGGCACGAAAAAATTCACTTTAAGTCCGAAAAGATTGCGATTAAGTCCGAAAAAACAGGATTGAGTCCGATGAAATCATGATTAAAGCCGGAGAACTCACCACTAAGTCCGAAAAAATCACGATTAAGTCCGAAGAAATCATTATCAAGTCCGAATAAATCGCCATATAGTCCGAAAAAATAGGACTAAGTACAAAAAATGCCGATTAATTCCGAAAAAATCAATACTTACTCCGAAAAAATCACGACTAAGTCCGAAGAAATCACGAATAAACACGATGAAGTCCGAAAAAATTACGATTGAGTGCGAAAAAATTTCGAAACAATTAAAACGAAGTCCGCAATAATTCCGCTATAGTCCGAAAATTTTTACATATATCTCAAAAAACCCGGTAGCTCATATGCGGAGAAGTCTCGAAAAATACTAACCTTTTTTAATTAGTTACGAGTAAATATTAAAAAAGTATAGCGAATTTCCAGCAGGATACAGAATAGCAATTTATTATTTAAATAATTTCTAGAGAAAACAGACTTTTAGCCGTTATTTTTAACGTTGCGACGAGACGAATATTAATTTATTTCATTTAATGTCAATTGAATTTCCGTCATTTAAATGCACAGTAGAAATCCAGCATTACTGGTTATTTTCTCCCTTAAAAATTTCTGCTGAATCTTTTTTCGAAAAAAAGTATCGTCCTTTACGCGCAAAACCTCGTCCCCGCATACACAATACCACGTATGAGGTGGCTAGCAAACAAATTTATTTTGGTTATCCTGTCGCGATGCTTGCCTACTTCACAAATTTCAATACAATTTTAATAAAAAAAAAACATTCAAAACTTTTGAAGAAAATAAGTTTCTTTGTTATTTGGTCACATTTTCTCACTACCTTATACATATATACGTAGTATTGTATTTGACGATATGTGTATAATAAACGCGAATTTTCTTGCCCAAAAAATCTTAAGTTTTTAAAGTGAATGCGAAATCATATTTTACATTTGAAGGGAATGCTAACAGTACTTTGAAAAGCGATGCAATAACTTTTGATTTCAGAAGCTAAAAATAACTTTATATACTTGTAATGTTCAGTCTTTTTACTTATCCGATCGAATTTATTGTAAAAATATAAACCTCAGCCGTTTAACTCACGCCCTTTGTTATTTTAACGGTATCAAACAGTACGCACATTCATTCAATACTACTTTCATTCATAAATCCATCTGAGGTTTGAACTCCTCAAGATACTTCATACTAAGCAAAGAACGGGTACTCAGCTATTGCGGCAGAGTGAGAATATGAATGTGGAGTAAATGTAAAGTTCCAATGAAGTAAATATGCAAGTATGGGCACTAATGCATCCATGTTACACACTTTCTTACTTTATACAAGATTTATATATATGTTTTATATGTGCGACTTGTAGTGTGACTTTCTGCCTTTGCTCGATGTAGTGGCATTATTATTATAATAAAATAAAAATGAGGCCAACGACCTGAAAGGCAGGCAGCCCTATGCTATAGTAATAGCCGGTGTACAACAATAAAAAATATTTCAAAACTTATTTCATGTCGTGAACGCACACTAATGGGTTCAAACATAGAGTTATACATATTTACTAACATATATATATGTGTACATATGTAAGTATACATATGTGTACACTAGGGCTGGTCAATTTGTATGGGAGATTTTTTCGAATATGCGCCTATAGCGTAGAAGTATTCTACGTGTAATTCTAAGCAAATTTGCGGAAGAAACCATGGGTGTAAAATCAATCTGGAGTTTGCTTAATTGCGAAAACAGGTTTCCTTGCATTTTGCTGTAATGTCGTAAAAAGTGCTTCAATTTTGTATATAAACATGCTATAAGGGGTTTTTTGGTATGAGGAATCCATTTCTCCACTTATATTTTTTTGTAACTTCCAGCAGAGGGTACAACAGCGAAAATTTAAAAATTTTCCCTGAAATCTTTTTCGAAATTTGGCAAACTCCAAATTGATTTTAGACCCATGGTTTTTTTGGCAAATTTGCTTACACTTACACGTAGAATCCTCCTGTTATATGCGCATGGTCAAAAAAAATTACCCGCCCTAATGTACATATGTACCAGTTTAGCGAGAAATGCAGAGCAGAGTGGGAAAATTCTTTAACTCATGAATACTCCTTTGGTACGAGTATGGATGTAGTATGTGCATTAGGGTGGTCCAAAAACAGTTAAGTCGGAATTGTAATGCTCTCCCCCTATGATTGTTCTATATCGAAAAAAGTATACCCATATTTTTTATTTTGAAATCAAAAAATATTTAGAGGTCGCTGAAAGCGGTCAATGTTTTCCATGTATTTTTATAGGTATAGAATTCTTGAAAGTCAATATTTTTCGATCGGAAAACTCTTGTTCTCTTCAGGAGACTTTCAATAATAATACCCAATTGTTTATTTACAAATTTGTAAATGCTAACGATTTTTTATTGGTCGCCCCATTGCATTTTTCGGAGATTTTGTGAGTTTTTGGTGGACCTATAAATTATAGTTGCGATGAAAAAATGGTTAAATAAACAATTGGGTATTATTATTGGGAATCTCCAGCAGATAAGTAGAGTTTTCTGGTAGAAAAATATTGATTTTTAACTATTCTAAACCATTTCTACGAAAAGTTGTTTTTTCCCCATATAAAATACATGGAAAACTTTAGGCGCTTTCAGCGACCTCTATATATTTTTTGATTTTAAAATAAAAAAATAGGGATACACTTTTTTACGGTATAGCACAATCCTAGGGGGTGAGAGCATAAAAATTCCGACTTTACTTTTTCCCCACATGCATTTTTGGACCACCCTAATGTACATACGTACATGGTGCTTTTTGAAATTTGTTTACGATTGAGAATGATTGACCCATTGACTCACTAATTGACACTGTAGCAAGCAGTGAAATATTCAATTGAATAGTTAGGCATTTCATTGAATTTTTTTTTTTGTGATTTATTAAAATCGGTTAAAGTTTTTGCTTGATTATGTACTTATGCAGCGCAAATATAAAGCATTTCTATACCATTTTTTGAACTTGTTTTTTGACTTTTGTTTCATTAGATTTTGCCAAGCTAGTGCATATGTACATATGTACATGCATACACTCATATGTACAAACAATAAGTACATTCATACGTATTTACACACAACTTTAAGCCAATAAAAATTAGGTTAGGAGCGGATTAAAGGCTAACAGCATTTTTTAAGATTTAGGGATCAGATTCTTCACGTTTTTATTTTTGTACATATGTATGTATGAAGTAAACGTTATGTACACACGTACATGCATTTGAGCGGAAATTTAAGCGAAATTCAAAATGGGGATTATTTAGATTATAAAGGCAACGATTTGGCGCAAATGAAGCCAAATTTTTTTGGCACAAATAAACATAAGAAAAGTATGTAAATACAATTTTCAATTTAAATGCAGTGTTTAATGGCTTCAAACCAGCAAAAAAATGCTTTAAAAGGGATATTACTTTTTTTTTAAGTTTTAAGTTAAGTTTCGTCGCATTTTACTTTTAGTAAAAACACAGGCATTTATGTCGGTATTTACGAGAACCAGCTGGCATTCTCATCCTTATTTGACAGTAACCCATGTTCTGGTAGTCTAATATGTATGTATATGTCTTCACTGAACAAATTGAAAAAGAGTCCATGAAGTATTTACCCTACTAGTTGACGTGTCTGGCATACCAGAAAA